CTGTCAGAGCAGCAATACCAGCTCTGCGGGCCGCTGGTACGTTACAAAGCCTAGTAGTCACATTGAACTGGCTTAAAATCCCCGTAGCTCTATACAAAATTGAACCTGTGTCGCCAGCCATTTGGCGCAGAGCTCTCCGTGTGTCACAGACTGACTGACGGAGAGTTGAGCGAGCAGGCCTGTGCAGAGTTGCGTGACGAAGTTTTAATTTGTGACAGAGTACTGGCTGTTCAGCCTAATAATAGTCATATTCAATAAACATGATATCTTCAGAGCTTTTTAAAAAACTGAACCTGTGTCGCCAGCCATGACGAATTGACTTGTTTTGAGCGCAGACCGCAAAGAGGTGAAAGCAAAACAGAACTGTGACGCCAACCAACGAATTGACTTCATTTGGCGCAGAGCTCTCCGTGTGTCACAGACTGACGGAGAGTTGTGCGAGCAGTCCTGTGCAGAGTTGCGTGACGAAGTCTTTATTTGTGACAGAGTACTGGCTGTTCAGCCTAATAGTCATATTCAATAAACATGATATCTTCAGAGCTTTTTAAAAAACTGAACCTGTGTCGACAGCCATGACGAATTGACTTCATTTGGCGCAGAGCTCTTCGTGTGTCACAGACTGACGGAGAGTTGTGTGAGCAGTCCTGTGCAGAGTTGCGTGACGAAGTCTAAATTATTTGTGACAGAGTACTGGCTGTTCAGCCTAATAGTCATATTCAATAAACATGATATCTTCAGAGCTTTTTAAAAAACTGAACCTGTGTCGACAGCCATGACGAATTGACTTGTTTTGGCGCAGAGCTCTCCGTGTGTCACAGACTGACTGACGGAGAGTTGTGTGAGCAGTCCTGTGCAGAGTTGCGTGACGAAGTCTTTATTTGTGACAGAGTACTGGCTGTTCAGCCTAATAGCCATATTTAATAAACATGATATCTTCGTAGCTCTATACAAAACTGAACCCGTGACGCCAACCATCAGCATCGACTTGTTTTGTACTTATAGCTTCATTCACAAGGGTCTAACCAAAAATTTGCGGTGACGCCAACCAACGAACTGAGTTGTTTCGGCGCAGAGCTATTGACTACAAGCTTGAAACCGACGGAACCCGACCTGTCAGAGCAGCAATACCAGCTCTGCGGGCCGCTGGTATGTTACAAAGCCTAGTAGTCACATTGAACTGGCTTACAATCCCCGGAACTCTCTACAAAACTGAACATGTGTCGCCAGCCATTACGAATTGACTTGTTTTGAGCGCAGAGCGCAAAGAGGTGAAAGCAAAACTGAACGGTGACGCCAACCAACGAATTGACTTGTTTTGGCGCAGAGCTCTGCGGGGGTATCGCGGAGGGCTGTACGAGCAACCTCTATGGAGGGGCTCTGCAGAGCTCTGCAGAGCTCCTCCATGGAGGTTGCTCGTGCAGCCCCTTCTCGGTTTATTCGTGTCCTCCTCTATTACAATTAAGAGCATAATGGTAACAAAAATAAAGGTAAGTAAACAACATTTAAAAAGTAACAGTAAATAAACTCAATTCTCACAACAAAATTACCCCCCCACAAGGCTCAAAAGTAGCGGCTTGGTAATACGTGACTGGTGACGAAAACAAGTAAATATGCATTTCTGGACCTGCATCACAATTAGAATTTTCATCATAATCATGGATAATAATGATATTCAAATAGCCAGCTTCAGACAATTAACTCCACTATTTACGTAAGACCGATCCTGTCACACGCTATAGCGGATCAGCCACAGAAGGACGCAGACACTCCCAGCAAGAACAACAACCTGTACCCGGCGAGTCTCTGTCAAAAAAGTGTCAACTTAAAGGTTGGTTAGGCTCGCAAACAGATTTCAATTCTCTAAGGAGATATAACTGAAGGTTTGCTGTTTTTACTGAAGACAATCAGGTAGATAGCTGTCAGAAAAGTCAGGACGTCAGAAAATATTTAATAATTTCCATCTTAATATCTGCTTGGGGAAAATGTTAGTTCTAACGGCGGCGACAGGGGCGATGTGCTATGATTGTTTCATTTATATTATTTAATTCATATTTATATTCATATTGCATTTTGGTCACGTGGCACTATCGGCCAAATTTTCGCTGAAATCAGGAACTACAGATAAACCATCATGACTTTGCTAAGCCAAAGTCTGTTTGAACCGTTTTAACGCTTGATGTTAAGACCATTTAGCCATGACAAGGCTTTCCAAAATGAACACGGAAACACTGCTTATTTGACTAGATTAACCATCAGTTTTTCTAAAATTGCATTATTCAGTAAAGTGCACGTAGCTGAGGAACACAGCCCTACAATGGCTAATTTTTCATGATATTTCAGAAATAGAAGTAAAGTATACAATATTTTTTAGTCTTCTTTTGGTTTGTTCCTTGTCTGTCAAAACATGGCCACAAGAAGAACGGGACATCCATATTCAAGCAGCAAGTCTCAGACAATTAACAGGTACATACAATAACAACAGGAAACAGGGGCCCCGCCGGGTAGTTTACGGGCTATTTTTCTGCATTTCCGGCCGCGGCTGTCAGTCACTTTTATGTGACGGGGATGCATATTTTTATTTATTTTTATTCAGAAACACGATGATTAAAAATGAAAAGACATGGACTAAGTCACTGCGAACTCAAGTTAGATGCAACTTATATTCTCGCAGCCACTTTTACAATGGAAGAAAAATATTTTACAAGACATTTAAAATACATGAGACTTCGCGTGAGTAACAAACCTCCGATCCCAGAAGACACATACAGCTAGAATCTTTTTGTTTCTAATATATAATTTTGTGCGGCTAACATTATTTTGCAGTTGGTATCATACGAACAAAGGAAACTACCGCGAAGAACTAAATATTGTATAGAATTATCAGAGAGGGTGTTTAAATCAACAATATTACCAAGTATGCTTGAAAGCTTGCCAAAAAGGACTAAGCGCTGGTAAGTGTATAAAGGGCAGTGCAATAGATAATGAGTAATCGTTTCATATGGACACCCGCAGCTACAGGATGGACTTGTGACAAGACCTCGGGTATAAAGACTGTGATTCAAGCTGCAGGTGCCCAGACGAAGTCGGGTAATGAGAATACAGGAAGAACGAGAACCAAAGCTAAAATAGTTTAACTTTACAGGGCGTACCGATTTGAAAAGATATGAACGAAATTTAGGATACGAAAGAGTACGGATTTCTAAATTTAGGTTGTTCCATCCAGTGATGGAATATGGTATAAAAGACTTTCCAAAACGATTGGTAGAAAATTTGATGGTTCTCAGATTACTACTGTTTCTCAGATTGTAGATAGAAGTAGCAGTAATTGTACATGGAAGTAAATCTGTAAGATATTCCCGAGTACATCCGTTTACAATGTTATGAAATAGACTAAGTAATAGGCGCATTTTTCATTACCGGGAGTTATTATTAATCTCCAAGCAGATTCGGTGGGGCAGGGGGACTTTATATTATTGGCCACCTGTATCCAATGTTCGCCCCACGAATCTGCCGCAAAACGGAAGACTTGAAGCCTTTCAAACCTAATCACTCTGACACTTTTTCGGCTATTTTCAAGTAGCTGCGAAGTGTTTTACGGCGGGTTACATTTTCCACCCGCGCGCCGCGGGAGTTTCCGTTCTGGCAGTCGGTACGCAGTGACCCACGACTTCTTTTCCGACTCGGGGTCACATTTTGAAAGCCGTACCTTTAAACCTTACTCACAGAACCTTACTTAACCTTAATGGCGTTTTGAGTTGTCCATGCGCTCGCCGCTCATCATGGACGACATTTTGCGGGCGCATCGTGTTGCACGTGACATTTGGGGTTTCCCGGGACTGAAAGATGAGCCATCAGAGCCGTCGTGGAGAGGAAAGATAGCTTCGTCGGGCTCGCGACAGAACACGGAAAATCCATTTGCTACCAAATATTCTGCCATCGATTGCCTAAGAGCCCACAATCGTCATTGTAATCTCGACACAAAGTTCATGCACTTGTTGCAGATCAGGTAAAACATGTTTGTTTTCTGGACTGTTTTTTCCCCTTTTTTGCACGTCGATTTGACCAATCTCACTGCCCCCTCCCCAACTATAATGGATCACGACACTGTATTTTGATCTGAAGGATCCGACAAAACTTTACCGATCGTTAACAGAGTAAATGCTTTCAAACGCGCGGGAAAGAAGTGACGTCAGCTCTTGACGGGACAAGGCGGAAGCGGCAGGGAGCCAACATGGCCCGCTGATTATACTGTTCCCTACACCGAACGCATGTTAACTCCGGGCAGTAAAAATATTTACCATTACCAAACGATGCTTTAATAGTTACCAGGGAGGGGCAGCGACACCAATTTGAAAGGGTAGCCCCGCCCTGGTGCGTTTTGCGGCAGATTCGTGGGGTGAACGTTGGATACAGGTGGCCAATGGATACAGGACTGGACAATATAAAGTCCCCTTGCCCCACCGAATCATCTTGGAGATTAAGTGATCATCAACACGGGTCCCATTGGCAAATCTAAAATACGCTGTACTCTAAAGATGATATATGTATATAAATTATACATACATATGGATATCCTTGCAGGGATTCGAACCAAGAACCCTCAGATTCGAAGTAAACAACCCTAGCCTAACCCCAAAGGCATCTTGCCACACTTTCAATTCTACATAATTATATAGTTAGCAGAAAACAAGGGGCAAAACGAAGTCACACTGGACACCTAGAGATGTTCTAAAATCATTGATTTTCAAAGGCCACTCCAACCTAATTTTTTTTGTTCTATGACATTTTAGATGAATTATTATTTACCAAGAGGGCAAAGCAAAGTCATAGGAGGACAATTGGAGTGTAACCAATTTTTTTCTCCACTAGAAACCAAGAGTTTAACCTGGGATCTTATGTTTATATTAAGATTTAATTTTTTAATTAAAATTCGAGGTCTAACATAAAGTTGGAGTGGCCTTACTGAGGAGTTTCCCGTTTCATTCAGGTGGCAGGACACCATGGGAAGAAAGCTGCGACACGTGCTGATTTTCCTTCTCATCATGCTAAAGGAGCCCAGCATGCCAGAAGCTGGCTGTGACTGTAAACCATCATCACACTGCGGAAAGGGCATCACCAGCATCCCTCAGAACCTCCCAACATCCATCTCTGAGTTGGACTTAGGAAGTAACCAAATTAACACTGTAAAACAGTTTGAGCTGTTACGGTATAAGAATTTGTGTACGTTGTGCCTGAGAAGCAACAAGATAAGAAAGATTGAAGCTGATACACTTGCTAATCTACCCCAGCTACAATATCTATCCTTTCGTAACAACCAGATAACTAACATCCATTCTCGTGCATTTACCAACCTGCCCAAGCTAAAAGAGATGCACCTGGATTGCAACAACATAACTATCATCCATTCTGGCACATTTGTAAATCTGCTCCAGCTACAACTGTTGTGGCTGAGATACAACCAGATAACTACCATCCCTTCTGGTACATTTGCTAATCTGCGCAAGCTACAAGAGTTGCACCTGGGCAACAACCAGATAACTACCATCACTCCTGGTGTAATTGCAAATCTGCCCAACCTACAAACGTTGTACCTGTTTTGCAACCAGGTGAAATACATCTCTTCCGGTACATTTGCTAATCTGCCTGAGCTACAAAATTTGTACCTGCACTACAACCAGGTAAAATACATCCCTTCTGGTACATTTGCTAATCTGCCTGAGCTACAAAATTTGCACCTTGAAGTCAACCAGATAACTAACATCCCTTTAGGTACATTTGAAAATCTGCCACGGCTAAAAAAGTTGTGCCTGAAAAAAAACAAGATAACTGCCATTGGTTCTGGTATATTTGCAAATCTGACAGAGCTAAAATCACTGTACCTGTCCTACAACCAGATAACTACCATCAATTCTGGTACATTTGCAAATCTGACAAAGCTAAGATCATTGAGCCTGTCCTACAACCAGATAACTACAATCACTTCTGGTACATTTGCAAATCTACCGCGGCTAGGTGTGTTATCCCTGATGAACAACCAGATAATTACCATCGATTCTGGTGCATTTGCAAATCTGCCAAAGCTAGAATCATTGTGCCTGTCCTTCAACCAGATAACTACCATCCATTCTGGTGCATTTGAAAATCTGCCAGATTTAGATCGTTTGAAGCTTCGGTCCAACAAGATGACAGCCATTCCCCTGTCAGTTTTCTGCTTGTCCCTATCTACTGTCAAAATAGAAATAGACATTTACAGTAACCCCTGGCAGTGTGACTGTAGGATGGCTCCCGTCAAGCTCATCCATGCATTTAAGAACCAGATAATTTGTGCCAAACCCGCCAAACTTAAGCGACGGAAGCTTGAAAGTGTCGATCCTAAAGAGTTTATTTGTAAAGATCCAACCATATCACCACTAAGTGTTGGTAGCTGTTCTGCTGCAGTGTCGACACCTTCAGTTAGTAATACAGAAAGCAATACTAGTCCATCAGTCTTTAAAACCACCGCTGGCTCAACAACAAACCCTGCAGAAAACACAAGCAGAAAAATCTCTCTAAACTCTCACTTCAAGTTCAATACTGCCCTAAAACCAGATCCTGACTCAACATCAAGCCCTGCAGGCAAAACAAGAGTAACGCTACTTTTGCCCCTTGCAATCACTTCAGAGAAACCAGAATCTGCTCCCAGTTCCCCTCAGTTAACCACATCAACACGACTACCTGATATCCAATTGATCTCACATAATTCTCAGTATCACTGGTACTCCAAGTTCAATGCTGCCCCAATGTCAGATCATGCCAGCAAAACAAGAGCAACACTAGCTTCGCCCCTTGCAATCACTTCAGAGAAACCAGAATCTGCTCCCAGTTCCCCTCAGTTAACCACATCAACACGACTACCTGATATCCAATTGATCTCACATAACTCTCAGTATCACTGGTACTCCAAGTTCAATGCTGCCCCAATGTCAGATCATGCCAGCAAGACAAGAGCAACACTAGCTTCGCCCCTTGCAATCACTTCAAACATACCAAAATCTGCACCCAGTTTCCCAATACCTGTTCTCATAGGCTCAGTCGGTGGTTCAGTAGCAGCTGGCATTGTCATGATTGGCGCCATCACTTTTATAGTGTGGTGCAAGATAAAGAGCAGGCGTCCTCCTTTAGGGTTAAATCCCAATGTTGTTGGTGGTAACACAAACACAGCAGTTACTGTATTGGCCAGTGATGATGATCATGAGGATACTGATAACCTACGTGTTCAGAATGGGCAAGGCCAGGATAACATTCAATCTCTGAACGTTGGAAATCTATCCCATAACCAAGTACTAGCTGCCTTGGCGCCAAATCATATGTATGCAGGTAACACATCAGTTTCTGAAATGGCCAGTGGTGATGATCACCAGTATGAAGATATTGATAAACCAAGTGCTAAGACAGGGCAGGGTCAGTCTCAGGCTATCACTGCATCCACCACAAACACAACAGCTACTGTAATGGCCAGTGGTGATGATCAGACAGGGCAGGGCCAGTCTCAGGCTAATATTCAATCCCTGAAAGTGGGAAATTTGTCACATAGCGAAGTGCTAGCTGCCTTACAGCCAAACCCTATGTATGTAGATGTAACAAAAACACCAAAGGACGAAGCAACTACAGAGATAGCCAATAGTCATGATAATACAGGTCAGGGCCAGTCCCAGGTTGTGACTGAATCATTGGATGTTAGAAATCTATCTTATGGCACAGGGCAGACTGTCTCACAGCAAAACACTTTATACAAATCTGTGACCCAGTCTCAAACCATCACAAATACAGCTGTCGTAATGACCAGTGGTGATATTCAGACAGGGCAGGGTCCGTATCAGGCCATCACTGAATCCCTCGATGCTAGAAATTTATCTTATGGCACAAGGCCGACTGCCTCTCAGCTAAATACTCTGTACAAAACAGCTACTGTAATGACCGGCGGTCAGGATCAGACAGAACACGGTCAGTCTCAGGCTATCACTGAATGTAACACTAGCACCACAGGTAGTATAATGACCATTGATCATTATTATCAGTATGACAATTTTGAAAACAATTATTTTGAGACAGAGCAGAGTGGGTCTCAGAACATCACTGAATCTAACACTAGCACCACAGCTACTGTAATGACCAGTGATCATTATTACCGGTATGGCGATTTTGAAAACAATTATTTTGAGACAGAACAGGGTCAGTCCAACGCAAACACCACAGCTACTGTAATGACCAGTGGTCAAGATAATATAGGACAGGCTAACGCTCAATATCCGACAGTTGCAAATCTGTCACGTAACGAAGTGCTAGCTGCCTTACAGCCCAATCCTATGTATGTAGATGTGAAACACCACCTCCCAACATCTACAGAAATGGCCAGTGGTCATGATCAGACAATACAGGATCAGTCTCAAGCTAATATTCAATCTCTGAAAGTGGGGGATTTATCATATAACGAAGTGCTAGCTGCCTTACAGCCAAACGCTATGTATGTAGATGTGAAAACACCACAGAAGGACCCAACATCTACAGAAACGGCCAGTGGTCATGATCAGACAGGGCAGGCTCAGTCTCAAGCTACTATTGAATCTGTAAAAGTGGGGGATATATCATATAACTAAGTACTAGCTGCCTTACAGCCAAATACTATGTTTGTTGATGTAAAAACACCACTAAAGAGGAAAACATGTACAGAAACGGCCAGTAGCCATAATTAGACAGGGCAGGATCAGTCAGGAGCTAATAATTATTCAATCTCTTAAAGTGGGGAATTTATCACATTACGAAGTGCTGGCTGCCTTACATCCAAACACTATGTATGTGAAATATGATGTAAAACACCACCAAAGAACCCAGCATGTACAAAAATGGCCAGTAGCCATGATCAGGCAGGGCAGAGCCACTCTTAGGCTTACGTTTAATCTCATCTGGTAGATTCCCTCCTAAAGAGCATTAAGGTTCGGGAATACCCTTTAACCCTCAACAGTACACCTTCCCGGACTGATTAATCTGTACACCTGGGGTCCGCGCGGACCCCAGAACAGTTTTTTGCTAATTTTTAGAAATTATCAACATGCTACCAGCTCAATTGTTTTGCAAACTGATGCGGGAACCTCTGTGTTCACATTACATACAAAAACCATACATTTTGAACCTTTTCTTTTTTTTGGTGAAGAAAAGAAGACAAGAAGAAATACCCGATTTTTAACCCATTTCAGGCTGAAGGGGCTTTTGAGGCCTAACTTTGATCTCAGATGGCGGCTAAACGGCTTGCGCTAGAAGTATCAAATTTGGAGACCTTTCCTAAAATGTCTCTGGAAAAAAGTTCATATTAGTTTAATACTAGTAAGTTGATGTTTTTTTGTGTTGCCATGGCAACGGGTTTATAGCAGGCAGTTTTTTTGAAAATAGAAGTAATTTTGGTTTAAACATACAAATTTTCTGAGTTTAATATTAAATTACGCTTCTTTTCCAGCATTAATAACATCTTACATAATTAAATATAAGTTAAATCATTTAATATGCATAGAATATGCTAATTTGATGACGTCATTGGTCAAAATCCAATATGGCGGACTATGTTATTAGCTCTGACGTCACATGACATCATAATTACACCAAAGTTATTAAAATTTAATTCTATTACTACACCATTCTCTGAAAACTTGGTAGACATACGATGAGTGCATAAAAACATATAAAAACGGAAATAAGGCAATGTATAAGAACGCCAGTGTATCCATTATGATCGAAAGCCGGCTGGGGTCCGCGCGGACCCCAAAAGAAAATCAGATATAATTTTTTTTATAAATGGTAGAAACGGAGTTTTCTGCACTGTATTGAGAGACAACTTTGTGGGTGACAATTACCTAAAATGTCAGAAAAAAATCTTTAGAAACAAAAAAGATATTACAGAATATATAGTGCTGGGGTCCGCGCGGACCCCAGGTGTACTGTTTAGGGTTAAATGCCCAGTGAAACTTAAGGATGGTCAAAATGATCATGGTATATCATGGTTAATAATTTCATTCATTCTAATTGTATTATTCTTTTCTTTAGAGTAGTTCGTGGGTTTTAAACACATTAAAAAATCGGTTCTTGTACATGTAGGGAGGACACCAGACACTAAAATAATTACCTAAATTCTAATCCTGTAAACTGAAGTTATATTTCATGAGAGAAACTTAAAGCTATGTTCAATTTTCAAACTAGAAGTGTACAGTTTTAAAAGTAGCTCGTGTGCCTGTTTAAGTTGTAGCTTGGTTGCTTCTAATTTAAGATTGTACATTTAAGGTACTTCAAGAATCAACATGTTTAATATCAACCCTGTAAATTATCATTGATCAAATTTCAACAACAATTTTTTAATGAGTTGTTACTTTCTTGGGGCTTGCAAGTTTGGGACGGATAAAGAGTTATAACTTAAAGGTATAGTATTAGTGAACTTCAGACGTATGTTTTATTTGCAATTTTTTACATGAAAATGTAGTTAAAATATTGGGTTGTGGGCCCTTGCAGCTCAAACCCAAGGCTGTTGTCTGCCAGGAAACAACATGAATATTCTAAGCTACTTAAAGAGTCACAGACTTCAATCTCAACCTTACATGACATTTCTATCAGAAAATTCATTTGCAAAAGTTTATTTGCAATAGTTTATTTGCGAAAGAAAATTTATTTGCAAAAGTTGCTTCTGGAACGTTTGAGTAAGAGCCTTTGATTGTGTAATATTTCGTGCACGAGTACAGTACGATCCATACTGTGCAGGAACAGTCATTGTAACAGTTACAGTTCTTACTATAATCAAGAACCTACCAAGAACAGGAAAAGAGTGTTTTTGGTGTTCTGTGTAAAGTATACAATGTATTGTTATGGACGATCTAAGTCCGAAACTCTAGTAGCAGAGCAATGCACTGTAAAGATCATTTTAAATGCATCAATACTGAATTCTTTTTAATTTTTTAACTTTTTTTAATTTTTTTAAGTGTCGTTTTGGTCCAGTAACATCTTCTCTAGTTTTTTTTTTTTACTTTGAAGTTGTAGCATTGTAACAATGTGATTACAATTACCTTTTTAACATTGACGATGTGACGACTGTATTTTGCAAAGTTGAACTTTAATAGTTGTTCCAAATTTACTTATTGCCCTACCAAGAACAGAAAAAGAGTTTTTTGTCATTCTGTGTAAAATATGTATGATCATAAAATATTTCAGTCTGGAAATCTTGTTACAGAGCAATGTACTACATAGAGTATAAAGATCATTAATGCTGAGGATTTCGTTTAAAAATGAATGTGATTTTGCACCAGTAATACCAGCTGTAGTTTTTTTTTAAATATGAAATCTGAAGTATTGTATCAATTGTGGTAATAACTATTTCATAATCTGTAGCTTTTTATTATACATTGATGATGATGATGTCACACTTGTATTTTGCAAGCTTTAACTTTTTTAGAATAGTTGTTCCAGCTTTAATGACCAACAAAAAAGAAAGAGTGTTTTGTCATTCTGTACTGCTGTGTCAAGTATACATTGTATAATTATGGACGATTTAAGTCAGGAACTGTAGTAGGAGAGCAATGTACTGCAGAGAGTATAAAGATGCAAAGATTTTTCAATAGCATCTCGAGATGATCTTCCTTGTGAGTGAAAAATATACCGTAGTATGTCAACATTCCGGTTTATTACCAAACGTTCATTTATTTTCCATAATATAGCCATCCTTTATTACTGTTTGAAAGAGGGGAGGTTAAAGGTACATACCCAACCAGCTGTAAATTGTACGCAAATGTACGTGTCACCTTCAAAATAAAAACATAAAGTTTATAAATCATGTGTACTCTACCATAGGACATAAAGCATACACCGTAGGGTATATGTACCAAGAAGACAGGAACATCGTAGAATATCAATTATTTAGTAATATGCAAAATGGTACCTCTTTTGCGTAATTTTTACCAAAAAAAGTCATAATACCATAGTGCTGACACAAGTTTGGTACAATTCAACATCACCTTTCATAGGCCATGCAAATCAGACAAGTGCTAGAATTCATGTCTTAAGATCATTAGTCGAAGGTATGTGATCAATTGCAGTGCTGTGCAAATACAAGTGATTGCGCATAAATTGTAGCCCCTCTTCCTATTTTACCCGCAGGACGAAGACAAATTTCAGACTCAAGCTCTCCTATTATAAACAACCTTAAAGTTTGTTTCCATTTCAAAACACCATTGGCAACAAATTAACATTTTCGGTTTAATCCTTTTGCCCGTTATACGTATATTAGGTGTTCGTAATTTGATTATTAGCTTTCACATTTGGATTTAATAAAATGATACAAGAATTTACACAATTATAGTATAAAAAGAATTCGAAATAAATAGACAAAATACGAAAGAACAATAAACGTAACCGGATAGAAATCGTAAAGTTTGCATAAAGGTCGAACTAGTTTATTGTGCTATGGTGTAATTTTAGGGGGATTCCGAGCAAGTTAATTGAAGTCATTAGCGCAAACCATATCATAATCCAGGAAGTTAAAATTTCTTGTTTCCTCAGCTCGTTCCCATAGAAACACCCGGCTACTTCCTCTTCATGGACGCGTTTCCGATGACATCGACACAGCACAAGGTAGGCGGGATTATCATTTAAGATATTAAAACTACTGGTTTCTCTGTTCAGCATATGTGGACATCTAGTTTATTGTAAGTTGTGGACTATTTACAGAATGCTATGATATATTCTAAAGGTGCGAGTCCAGCTGTCCATCATCAACCAATTAATTGAGATAATTGACTTAACCAATAATCGTAATTCTCATTCTCTCCTTAGCATTTTCAAAATTAAAATGCATGCAATTAGTTTTCATTGTACGTTTCTATGTATTTCATTTAGTTGAGTTATTTTACATTGTCTGGTAGCATCTCTAAGTTCTCTCAATTCTAACTATTTCATACTATATCTGGTGTACTGTGTACTGGAATTTTTGTTCTTTTTTGTTCTCTGGTGTTATCATTACTTTTAAAGGCTTACAGCAATGACGATTTATACTTGCGGAAATAAGCACGCAACACAAAACTTACATGTACATTTTTATTCAAGGGAAAAACACGAAATCTCGATAAACAGCCCAATCAACTTTAGATCTAAAAAGCTGTTACATACAATCATATTATACATCACGGTATGCATGCCTGTTTTGTAGTCGTTTCATTGCAAAACAAAAACAACATTAAAGACATTTCAGGTCATGGGATCAAAATAGAGCATGCAATGACATTGTTTATTCGACTAAATGTGTTTTTTAAAAGATATTCTGTTTTCAATATGAGAGTCATGTGTACCTTAGAATGGCAAACGTGATCGATATTAAAGACACAGGCGTAATATTGATAAATTCGTGTTCTTACTTTATTAAATTATATGCACTACTCTATAGAAGACATTAGGAAAATTCCATATATTTTACGGGGATAAACGTGACTCCTGTTACTATGTGTGTTTCAACATTTGCCCTATTTTACTTCATGACAAACAACATAGCAAAGCAATATAAATGGAAAATTCAACTTGGAATATTAGACAAATACTTTTCTGTTGCAGCCCTATTGTAATAATACTACTTGCTATAAAACTTTAACAATGCCAAGTTAAAGAGATGGCTTGTATTCTTGCGCATAAAAAGAAGGCGAAAAGAGAAAAGGAAAATATATTGGATATAAGTAGCACACACGATCGGTATAGACAGATTCGGGTTCGCCTTATTCATTTTACAATAGTGCAGTAGATAAAGCCATATGAAATGGACTAACACCTGCTAACAATAGGGAGTAATCTACAGTAAACACTTGGTGCACTTCCTTGTGAGTGAAAAATATATAGTATATAGTATGTCAACATTCCGGTTTATTACCAAACGTCCCTTTATTTTTCATAATATAGCCATTCTTTATTACTGTTTGAAAGAGGGGAGGTTAAAGGTACATACCCAATCAGCTGTTAATTGTACGCAAATGTACGTGTCACCTTCAAAATAAAAACATAAAGTTTATAAATCACGTGTACTCTACCATTATGATAGGACATAAAGCACACACCGTAGGGTATATGTACCAATAAGACAGGAACATCATAGAATATCAATTATTTAGTAATATGCAAAATGGTACCTCTTTTGCGTAATTTTTACCAAAAAAAAGTCATAATACCATAGTGCTGACACAAGTTTGGTACAATTCAACATCACCTTTCATAGGCCATGCAAATCAGACAAGTGCTAGAATTGATGTCTTAAGATCATTAGTCGAAGGTATGTGATCGATTGAAGTGCTGTGCAAATACAAGTGATTGCGCATAAATTGTAGCCCCTCTTCCTATTTTACCCGCCGGACGAAGACAAATTTCAGATTCAAGCTCTCCTATTATAAACAACCTTAAAGTTTGTTTCCATTTCAAAACACCATTGGCAACAAGCTAACATTTTCGGTTTAATCATTTTGCCCGTTGTACGTTAATAAGGTGTTCATAATTTGATTATGAACACCTTTCACATTTGGATTTAATGAAATGATACCAGAATTTATACAATTAAAGTAGTGTAGTATGCATCATGTACATGTTATACTTTGATGTCTAGTCTCCAGTAAGTCTCCGGGAAGTCTTTTTTAAAAGACTTACTGGTGACAACACAAAATCTATTTTGCATCCTGTAAAAAATGTAAATCTAAACGAGAATCAAATGTAATAGTCTCTTAAGTTAAACTGAAATGTTGAGACAGCATTTATTGATATATACATTCTCCGTAATTTTTACTATGTTTTACAAAAGGTGATTTATTATATGTTAAAACCTCCGAAACAACAGGTTTATTTGCCTCTGTATCTTGACTTGCTAGGTGACCCGGGAGGACCATCGCGCCCGGGAGGACCCTTCTCCCCGTCCCTTCCATCACGCCCGGAACGACCCTTCACCCCCTTACACCCTCTAGACCCTTTCTTTCCCTTACTCCCTTTAGATCCAGTAGGCCCGACTGGCCCCCTTGACCCTCTATTTCCAGCTCGCCCTTTGGCTCCCTTTTGTCCCGATGGTCCAGATGGCCCCATGTCTCCCTTTTGTCCCGATGGTCCAGATGGCCCCATGTCTCCCTTTTTTCCCGAAGGTCCAGTTGGCCCCATTTCCCCCTTTTTTCCCGATGGTCCAGTTGGCCCCATGTCTCCCTTTTCTCCCGATGGTCCAGTTGGCCCCATTTCCCCCTTTTTTCCCGATGGTCCAGGTGGCCCTATAGCTCCCTTTTCACCAGGAGGTCCGAGAGGTCCGGCAGGCCCATAGCAAACTGGCCATTCTGGCCCCCTTCCTCCTGGCGGGACAGCTGACCAGCTGATGCCTAAAGATCCCTTTTCACCAGGAGGTCCGGCAGACCCATGACAAACTGGCCCTATGGGCCCCCTTTCCCCTGGAGGTCCCGAGGTACCCTTTTCTCCTGGTGGTCCAGCGGACCCTAAAGCCCCTTTTTCACCAGGAGGTCCGGCAGTCCCATGGCCAGCGGGCCCTATTGGCCCCCTTTCTCCTGGAGGTCCCGAGGTACCCTTTTCTCCTGGCGGTCCAGCGGACCCTAAAGCCCCTTTTTCACCAGGAGGTCCGGCAGTCCCATGGCCAGCGGGCCCTATTGGCCCCCTTTCTCCTGGAGGTCCCGAGGTACCCTTTTCTCCTGGTGGTCCAGCGGACCCTAAAGCCCCTTTTTCACCAGGAGGTCCGGCAGTCCCATGGCCAGTTGGCCCAATGGGCCCCCTTTCTCCTGGTGGTCCAGGGGGTCCGGCAGTTCCATTGCCAGTTGGACCTATGGGCCCTCTTTCTCCCGGAGGTCCTATACCACCCTTTTCTCCTGGAGGTCCAGCTGACCCTAAAGCCCCCTTTTCACCAGGAGGTCCGACAAAACCATGGCCAGCTGGCCCCATGGGCCCCTTTTCTCCCCGAGGTCCAGGAGGTCCCAAGCCACCCTTTTCTCCTGGAGGTCCAGCTGACCCTAAAGCCCCCTTTTCACCAGGAGGCCCGGCAGTCCCAAGGCCAACTGGTCCTATGGGTCCCTTTTCTCCTGGAGGTCCAGGAGGTCCCACTGTACCATTTCCTCCCGGAGGTCCAGGAGGTCCCATGGTACCATTTTCTCCTGGAGGTCCAGGAGGCCCCATGGTACCATTTCCTCCCGGAGGTCCAGGAGGTCCCACTGTACCATTTTCTCCCGGGGGTCCAGGAGGTCCCACGGCACCCTTTTCTCCCGGGGGTCCAGGAAGTCCCAGGGTATGATTTTCCCTTGGAGGTCCAGAAAACCCTAAAGCCCCCTTTTCACCAGGAGGTCCAGCAGAACAATTACCAGCTGGCCCTATGGGCCCCCTTTCTCCTGGAGGCCCAGGAGGTCCTTGAGGTCCAGCTGACCGAATGGGTTCCTTTTTATCTGGACCACCACTTGTCACAACAGACCCTGAAGGATTGAAATAAAATCCTTAGTGTGTTACTTCTAATACCCTAAGGTCATTTAATAACTAGAGTTTCTCATACCTTCGCCAAATGATGTTAATCTTTATGACTGACAAAGTAAAGATTATCCCTCCTCATTATGCAAATGACATTCAATTGAATGGATTATATCAGTAAATCATATTCTTCACCAAAAAAGAGCCTTATCTTAAGGAATCCAATGCATCTTAGGGCAACAAAACTGGAAATATTCTGAATAAGGCTAGCTTTCTTATTTTCTGGGAGGTACCCTAAAAAACAGCCGAGGGCCCTTTCAGTAACTGTTTTCCGTCAGAATTGTGGAACTTTTTGCTTCCTAAGGGTCTCTATACATTGGGATAGTAGGATTTTAACTTAGTATGTAGATAAACGACTAGAATATTGGCTCTATAAATTTGGTTTCCAAACCCTAAAAACTGCACTGGATGCCTTTAAAGAAATCCATTCTATCTTTTGCTCATAAATTATGCAAATGCCTTATTTAAATAAGTTATGTTTAATGATGTTCACCTTCACTTAATTTTCAAATACCCAAACAATGAAATTCCAGGCAGTATATAGTAGAGGGGATTCATTCCTCAAGCTACCGACATCTTGCACACGCAGTCGTCCCTCAGTAAGACATCTGGAGCCGCATAGTTCCCGTTCAGAACTTTTATTCAGCCTGTCACAAGAGCCAGAGCAAGAATAACAGCCAGGGGAGAAGACTACACTGCGAAGAAGATGGATTTCTCTTTTTTTTTCGTTTTGTGTAACATGGTAGTCAAGACCTTTATGACATCTTTAATTGTTCTAGAACAATAGATGACGTCATGTAGTAGGTCAACCAAGGTCAAAACGAACTTTGTAACAGGTCAGAGCGATCTGAACGCCATGATCCGACCTGAGGGCACTATGCACTGGAAAGGTATACAAGTGAGAACTTCATGCACTTGTGTCATTAGCCTCTGTACACTTGAAGAAGCCACACAGGCGAAACCGGTCGTGTGACAGGCTGAATTAAAGTTCTAAAAGGGAACTATGCGGCTCCAGATGTCTTACTGAGGGACGACTGCATGTGCAATATGTCGGTAGCTTGAGGAATGAATCCCCTCTACTATATAATGAAATTCCAGGCAGTTACCATGTTCGACTAATAACATGTTCTTATTAATTATGCAAATTAAGTCTTCATTTACATAATCAATATCTGCCTGTCTCAACTCAATTACACATGTCACAAGCCTAAATAGTCATATTATGTAATGCAGATATGCATAATTGTCGCAAAATTATGTCAAGCGTCACTTAAGCTATCTACATACCTACACATCTAGTATTACACACAAATCATCCGAAATTCGGTATTGGTATGCTTTATATATCTACCAACCGCAATTCATTATACCTTTTGGTATGCACCCTTTTAAAGTTGTATAATTTAAGACTTTTAATAGTTACTGTATAATAAAGAGACTGGTTTGATGAGCAGAGAACAGACATCCAAACACTCCTCTCGGAGCAGCACAAAGCACACTCAAAAGTACTTAGAAACCCAACTCGTGCTAACCGGGCTAAGCTAACGGAACTAAGGTCCCACGTCCAACGGGAGATAAGGAAAATGAAGAACGACTGGTGGACAAACCTAGCAAAGGAGATGCAAGGGTATGCAGACTGTGGTAACCAACAGAGCTTCTATAGTACCCTTAAGGCAGCGGGCGGCCCAACGCGAGGGTCCCACTTCCCTGTGCGGTCCGCGGATGGAACATCCCTAATTACAGACAAAACTGCCATACACTCCCGATGGGCAGAGCACTACAAGCAACTGTTGAACAGGTACACAGAAGTGGACAACAGCATCATCGAGGACATTCCTGAGCTTCCAACCATGACAGAGATGGATGAGCTCCCAACCTCCAGTGAAGTCCGCGCGGCAGTGAACTCTCTTAAGAACAACAAAGCCGCGGGGCCAGATGGAGTGCGTGGAGAAATCCTGAGAGCTGGTGGTAAGCCAGTCGTCCAGTGTCTCCACTCCCTCATCATCATTGCCTGGAACTCTGGCTGTGTCCCCCAACAATAGACTCTGATCTTGTGAGCATATATAAGAAGAAGGGAGACAGAGCAAGTTGCAGCAATAGCAAAGGCATTTCCCTCCTATCGTGCGCCGGTAAAGTACTTGCAAGGATACTGCTACTTCGACTTATCAAAACAGTTTCCGAAGACGTCTTACCTGAAAGCCAGTGCGATTTTAGAAAAGACCGCAGCACCACGGACATAATTTTTGTAGCCCGACAAATTCAGGAGAAATGCAGGGAACAGCATCAAGACCTCTATATGGTCTTCGTCGACTTAACAAAAGCATTCGACACAGTGAATAGACCCCTACTGTGGGACGTATTTCAGACACTTTCCAGATAAAGAACAGCGCACTGAACAAGGGTAAATTATTTTACTTACCTGGACTCAACCCTGAGTGTCAACTGCGATATAAAAGACGAGGTACAGCGGCTCATAGGTCTTGCACCTGCCTCTTTCGGCAGACTTGCACGAAAAGTCTTTCTGAACAGAAGCTTGTTAGTCAAGACCAAAGTCGCCGTGTACAGGGCGGTATGCCTCTCCATTCTACTCTACGCAGGTGAGACATGGACCCCATACAGGCACCACATCCGCACATTAGAACAGTTCCACATCCGTTGCCTACAGAAGATACTGGGACTTAACTGGTGGCACAAAGTTCCTCACACAGAGATCCGACGTAGAGCCAACATCGAGCCCCATAGGCCTATACTTCTGCAGAGACAACTCAGATGGGTAGGGCATGTGATCCGCATGCCTGCAAACCGGCCACCAAGGCAGATGCTGTACGGTGAGCTTTCCACGGGCAAACGCTCCGCAGGTGGCCAGCGCAAGATGTTCAAAGTAACCTCAAGTCCTGTGGCATCGAGCCACAAAGTCTTGAACAACTAGCAGCTGACAGAAACCGTTGGAGACAGGTATGCTCGACAGCTACCGAATCGTACACAGCCAGCTACGACCAGAGGGCCAGCTACGACCAGAGGGCGGAGGCAAGCAGAGCAAGAAGACACATGCCGGCTCAGCAGCAGGGACAGCACATCTGCGAGATATGCGGCCGCGTCTTAGCAGCTAGAATCGGCCTAATCAGCCATCGAAGAATACACCAAGTGAGAGAGTCAGAGAGTCAACAATGAGGGATGTCATCTTCGAAATCGAAGGACCGCCTTAAGCAAGTAAGTAAGCAAGCAAAGTATAATAAAGAATGTGTCATCAGAAAGCAACGCCAAACAACAGCCAGTAGGCATGCAGCTTTTGAGATCCTTGGGCAGTTGTAATCTTCTTGCTGATTAAGTGCTTGGCTGTAATTGGATTAACTCATTGGGCACCTGACAGGTAAACTGCATTCAATTACTTTTAGTATGTTTGTCACGCTTTCCCACAATGAGGGCCAGAAACCTTTTTTTTACCTTGAAAATCAACAGTTTGCATCAGAAATACCATTTTTAATCTTGAAAATCAAGTTTGCATCTGGCAAATATGAATTTTTAACTATAATGTATAGGACGTTAGCTATCTAACTGCTGTATTCATAGTTATATATCACTTCATAGCATATTAATATTGATGAAAAACATTCTTCTTCCTTGTGACTCTCCTTCTGCCCCTGCAACTTCGTTAAACGGATTCAAATTTGGGGACCAAATGACCTAATGGATCTCCCAGCAGAGTACATGGTGGCATGGATCCTGTCAATCTACATGTTCAACAGCAGATCAGGGCATTGGAACTTTCAATTGCTGAATGAAGGTATAGACCGTTTTTGACCAGGGGTGATTAAGGAACAATCAATTTGTGAGGGAGGGGGATAGGTCATTTTGGTACGGGGGATGTGGTGAAGCCATGTTGCATTTGCTCCTGAGCAAATGTCGGCCTTTCTTGATCCTTATTATGTTGCCCTGGGCATTACACCATGCAGTTTTCGGATTTTATCTTAAAACACTTACGTTCCAGCTTAATCAATCTCCGTTCCATCCTGTTCAGCTTTTCAATCTTCTCAGAATGACTGCAGACTTTAACTGTAAACATAAAGCAATTAAATACTTGGCATTTGCTAAGATACTACCAAATAACAAACTTACTGCCAAACCAATACAGTTTTCACATAACAATACATCTCTATAGAAATATGTCCAGCCCTCCTGTCAAGTCTGGCAATATCATCAGACAGCTTTACAATTTTCCAAGGACAGCTGCTAAATTTGATTGTTTTAGATAAAAAAAAACGACACTACCTACGTTTTTCAATGTTGTAGATAAATTTGATAATATCTCTAGACAACTGGGTAATTTTATCAGGATAGATGTGTAAAAAGGAACACAAATTTACTAACAAATGCTAAAAAAGACAAAAACAAATGTTTACCCAAGTTTTACTATAAATATACATCGCATTTAAATAAGAGGTATTACATGTACCTGTCAAATAAGGCATTAAGATCAGAACTCCCAAGCAGACTACAATGTTGATAGCTTGAAACAGCTTCTTGCCAACACTTTGATATTTCTTCTTCTTGGCGTCCGCATCGTAGCTGGTATCTGTTTTAACATTATTAATTATATATCAACAATGTTTTATTTAGTCGCGTTTGGCTACAATGTACTTCTACTTGTTATTTTACCATTAGACAAGAGTATGCAAAGAAAAGTTGTAAATTTCACTACCAGGCAGATTTTCTCACACAGAACGGTTTTTGTTTTGCCATCTTGAAATTGCATCAGATGCGTTACCACCTATTACATAATTATACATGCGATACAATATTTATGATGTACTATGTACATATAAAGTAAAACCAGTGAGGCAACAAAAAACAAACCAAAAAAAATAGTGCCGGTGAATGTTTCCATTTTTTTCATTAAAAATGTATAAAATCGATCTGTTAGATAAAATGGTTTACCTGCTCTAGAGATGTACAAAGGGTTGGGCACATTCGCACCTGCGTCCGCAAGTGACCTCCAATCAGTCTGGGGCTGCTGCATGGGCGTGGTGCCTGTGTGGTATTCATATCATCATTAAAACCGTCTACGTATAAAACCTAATAATTCCTCTATCAAACTTAAGAATCTATTAAATGGTGAGCCTTGACATGCCACCGATTTTGTGCCTTTGGAAAGGCACTTTAGACGACTTTCTCCATCAGAAAATGAGTATTGTCTGACCAGTATTATTTTCTATGTGTGGGACATAACACCAGCAACAGCTGCATTGTTTGTTGCAATTTCAATAAAATCGCATTGTTGCATTGTTTTGCATTGTTGCAATTTCAATAAAATAAAAATCTAGTAATCCATGTATCAAGCTGCGAATGTTTAAAAAAGTACAGCTAAATATGACGTATAGTAGTATTTTGTAGCAACCAGATCTGTCAATATACGCCTAAATGATGTCTTCTCTTTTTATGACTCCTGTGGCATTCAATTTGTTTCATAAAATAATCAAAATGGCTCAGCCAGTCTCCATAAAATATATAGAAAATTGACACAACGTACTCTTCTTTTGTTCTTTGTTCTGTGCTACTTAACAGCTATTGTGAAATCCGTCGGCATTTTGTCGTCATTAGAAGAGAAATAAATAGAGCAAGCTTTTTTTAGCCTTATAATCCATATGTTATCAATAAACTCACGGTTTAAGCAACCTGTGTAGTAATTGAAAGTTACACTAGTTATGAGTTATAACCCCTTAACAAGTGCCGTTCTTCTTGAACCAATTCTACAAAACATTTAAATTGGAGGCTTCGGTGCCCAGGACGACGCACTAAAGAAGTACTGCTCTCTACTTTGGCTTCTCCGGTAGCTTGAATACTGAATTGACCCCCATAAATACATAAACACATAAACATCTCGGACTGTCTCTGCCCTAAAAACAAAAAGCATGGGCATAATAACGGTCACTTTGTCGAATATTTTTCTGCACTGTTTACAAAGTAACACTATCATACCGTCCAAAATGATCAGGATAGTTGTAACTTAGTCAACTTATTAAAGTCACTCTATGTAGTTTTTTGACAATACAAAAAGTATATTTTTTATTCTTTTCTTTACATAGTACATTGGCTTAACCCATTAGTATTCCAAAATTATACTCCCC